GGAGCTCAGGCGGACAGATAGCTTCCTGGTGCACTGTTGCATTAAAATACCCCATTTCATAGAGCTATAAACTGAGTCTCAGCTTGCTTCCAGTTACACAGCTTGTGAGTGGTGGATCTGGGATGGGAACCAAAGATTGACTGCAGCTGTGACCCTGGCGGTTTCCACATTCCAGTGCATATTAGGACCACCTGGAATATTGTTAAAAACCAATTCTCGCACCCACGAGTTCTGACTCTGTCTGCGAGGATGAAGTCAAGGATTTATATTCATCTCTCATGCTTTCCCATGATGCTGATGCTGTTGCTAGGATGAGCATGCCTTGGGAACCATGCTAATCACGGTTCATGCTAGTTTGATGGTTCTCAGCCTGGGATGCACAGTGGAAGCAGTCGAGCACTTAAAAATCCCTTAGAGAAGTTGGGGAGAAAGCTCATTGGGTGAAATGCGTGCAGCATTAGCATGACGTCCTGAGTTCTGTCCCCATCACCCACCTAAAAAGCCAGGCCTGGTAGCACACACCTGTCATCTCAGCAATGAGAAGACAGACAGGAGAATCCCCCGGGGTTGCTGGCCACCCAGCTAAACTGGCAAGCTCCAGGTTCAGTGAGAGACCCTGGATATATAATAATAATAATAATAATAATAATAACAACAATAATAATAATAATGTAGAGAAGTGACTGAGGCACTTGACATCAACCTCTGTTGTGTGCACCTATGTGCACACACACACACACACACACACACACACACACACACACACACACACGCCATGCCAGCTGGCCCTCTCCGAAGGTCTGCCTAGATTGGTTTGCAATAGCCCAGGTACAGGCGTTTTTCTTACAAGCCCCCAAATGTATTAATGTGCAGCCTGGGTGAGAACCACTGCCCCTATCCTTGCCAATGTGGGGGTGAGGCCAGCGGCAGCTTCCTGAAGGAAAACAAAGGACCCCTATCCCTAATGTTCAGCCACATAATGACTTCTGCTTTCAAGTTCAAAATCCTGAGCATTAGGAGCCATTCTGCTCAGTCCCGGCTGGATGCTAATTGCGTTCCCTTTGGGGCTGGATGCTTGCTCTGTATTGCTTTCCCAGTGACCCGATGGTGAACTGATTGGAGCCAACTGGGTAGGTGGGAAAAGGCAAGCTGGAAACCCTTTGAGAAGCTGATGACAGGTCTGCCTTGCGAGGAGGCATTTTTCTTACAAATACTAATAGTGGTGATTTCACCCAAGTTCGTAGCGGCATGTTTTACGACCAAGGTCCTCACATAATTATGCAATGGAAATGTGTTTGAAATTGCCTAAATGGTCGTAGGTGGGTAGGATTTGCTCAGGCATTCGTGGTACTTTCCAGAAGTTCACGTTCAGTTGGATTACCTTGCAAATGTGCTTTTTGATGTTTGCTGTCCCAGGTTCATGGCTGAGGAGGAGGCGCTCTGCAGAACTTAAAAGCTTTTTAGAAAAACCGGCATGAATTATTTCTAAGGAGGATGAAATCTTTTTCCAGTCCCACCCCCAACTCCAGTTGCTGGGGATGGAACCCAGAGCCTTGTCCAGGCTAGGCATGCACTCTACCAGCCAGGGAGCCACACCCCTCCCCTAGGATGATGAAATCTATAACTAGTCTTTCTGTCTGTGTTTGTCTCTGTCTGTCTCTCTCTGGAACCCAGGGCCTTGTCCATGATAAATTAGCATTTTTCAAGACAGAGTCTCATGTATCTCTGGTTGACTTTGAACTCACTCTGTTGATCAGGTTGGCCTCAAACTCACAGAGCTTCATCTGCCCCTGCTTCCCAAGTACTAGGATTAAAGGCGCGTGCCACCCAGTATGTTTGTTTGTTTGGTTTGGTTTTTAGAGACAGGGTTTCTCTGTGTAGCTCTGGAGTCTGTCCTGGAACTCACTGTGTAGACCAGGCTGGCCTTGCTACCCAGTGTGTAAGCCTGGCATAAATGAGCATTCTAACAGTGAGCCACACCTCTACCCTAGGCTGATGAAAAAAAACTGTGTGTGTGTGTGTGTGTGTGTGTGTGTGTGTGTGCACAAGTGTGAGCAGATGCCCATGGTAGGCCAGAGGCAACAGATCCCCTAGAGCTGGAGTTACAGCGAGCTGCCGGAGACAGGCTCTGGGAACTGAACTCAGGTCCTCTACAAGAGCAGTAGCCAGTGCTCTTAACCACTGAGCCCTCTCTCCAGCTCCGGCTGATGGAATCTTGTCTGGTGATTCATTGCTGAAGAAACAAACAGTGAGGTTTGTCACTGCTGCTTTACCATACAAGGAAAGTCGAACAAAAACCGAACGATGGAAGCCCTAACATGCCCCCAAAGAAAGCTGCATTTCTCCAGGCGCCGTTTCCACCAATCTGCCCTGGCTTCCCAGAGCAGAGGGCTCTCAAGACTTTCATGTCGACGTTCCCAATTTACAGTGCTCACCTAAATAAAATAAATATTGCATGCTCTAAATAGGTCTGTGGGCTGGTGTAGACCACATCGTGACCTTGCCTGGCCCCATTAATTTACAGAGGAGGGAAGACTCCCGGGAGGGCCGATCAATTTAAATAAAGGCTGTCTTGTTAAGGGCTGATGGGGGAAAGGCGAGAAAGGGGTGGACTGTTGTAGAAAGGCAACCCAAATGCTGTGGGAAGAGAGAAGGGCTGATTTCATCTCTCAGCTGGGTCTTGAGAGGACTAGGGAGCTGACCAGTCAGAACAGTAACGCTTCAGATCAGAGACATAAGTAAACAGCAGGAAAAATGCACCCGGCGGGAAGACCAAAACCCAGGTTTGGAAAAGATGACGTCACCGGCAGAACCCAAGACCGAGCCACTGGGAGATTTTACATTTTATTTCGTTTTTGTTTTTTGAGACAGAGTTTCTCTGTGTAGCCCTGGCTGTCCTGGACCTCGCTCTGTAGACCAGGCTGGCCTCGAACTCACAGAGATTCTCCTGCCTCTGACTCCCAAGTGCTGGGATTAAAGTCATGTACCTCCACCGCCCAGAGAGATTTTACATTTTAATTAATTGATTAGAGTATGTATGCATGCATGTATTTATATTTTTGTGTGTATGTAATAAGTGTGTGTCCATGGTAGGTACATATGTGCATGTGTGTGTTGACTGACATCAAGTATCTTCTTCAGGCACTTTGCACCTTATCTTTTGAGTCATGGTTTCTCGTTGAACTCAGGGCTCTCTGATTGACTAAGCTGCCTGGCCAGTGAGCTCTGAGGGTCTACCTGTCTCTGCCACACCCTACCCTTGTGCTAGGGTTACAGATGTACACAACCACACCCAGCTTCTATTTATGTATTTTAAATTACATATGTGTGCAACCACGTGGAGGTGTGTGCACATGGGTGCAGTTGCCTGTGGAGACCAGAAGGTGGTGTCAGATTCCCCTGGAGCTGGAATTATAGGTGGTGGTGAGCCTTGCAATTTTGGAGAGAGGGAACTGAACCTGGGTCCTCTGTAAGAGCAGTCTGTGCTCAATCCCTGAGCTACCTCTCCAATAATCCACCAGCATTATTTTTTTTTTCAGACCTGGGTGCTGGTGGTCTGAATTCCAAACTCAAGTCCTCGTGTTCCTGTGTCAGACTCTTGACTGTCTTACCTCTCTAGCCTGTGGAAATTTCGATCTAGCTGAAGCTGTAACACCCAAGATGCGTTTTCACGGCGGCAAAGGAAAGAGATGAGTTAAGTGTCTGAGCATTCGAGAGCGGGGCTAGCCAAGCCCGAGAAAAAGGTGACTGACAGGTCAGGTGACAGAGTGCAGCCCGGGCCTTCGTGTTTTTTTTTTTTTCTTTTCCCTCCTCACTCGGCGATGAGCATTCCAAGCTCTGTGGCCAGAGCTCCCGAAAAGCCCTTGCTCTGAGGAGATGGCTCGCTCCTTTGTCTCTTCACAGCTCCCAGCTTTCTGAGTGGGTGGAGCCTCCCATTTCAGTAATCGCCTTGGTCTCCCTGGGTCACGGCGGGTCCCTGGCACCGTCCCGTCTCTTAGGATTTTATAGGAAGTGCAGAAGAGGAGAGGGTCCAGGTGCCTTTCTGCTATCCGGGGGTTGGCACCAATTCTTTATTTTTCAGTTCCTGTCCCTTGAAAAGTTGAGGCAGGAGTTCAGGTTGCTGAATTCCTGAGGTGACAGGTCAGCTGGCCACCTCCATGGTTCCCCAGTGTTTGGAGACCTCACTATAATGAGTATTTCCTTGCCACCGTGAGAGTCTCCTGTGGTCGAGAGAGAGATTTCGACCCCAAATCTCTGCCTTCAGGGAACCATTTTACTTATGTGGTGCACATACACCCACGCAGGCAAAAATTCATACACATAAAATAAAAATAAACAATTTTTTCAAAAGAAAATATTGGGAGCTGAAGAGATGGTTCTGTGGCTGAGAGAACTGGTTGTTCCTGCACAGGACCCAGGTTTGATTCCCAACACTCACAAGGCAGCTCATAACTCCAGTTCCAGGGGATCTGATGCTGTCTTCTGGTCTCGATGGGTACCAGGAATACACATACACACACGCAGGCAAAACACCCAGACTCATAAAATAAAAACCAATATATCTAAGAAGTAAGCAAAGAGAAACGAGTTCTTAAAAAAATAACAAAGAAAAGAAAAAAAACGAAGTATACTGACCCAACCAAAAAATTAGCTACCTTGGGGCTGGAGAGATGGCTCAGCAGTTAAGAACACTGCCTGGTGTCTGTAGAAGCCAACAGAAGACATCAGAACCAGGCAGTGGTGGCGCATACCTTTAATCCCAGCACTCTGGAGGCAGAGGCAGGCGGATCTCTGTGAGTTTGAGGCCAGCCTGATCTACAGAGTGAGATCCAGGACAGGCACTAAAACTACATAGAGAAACCTTGTCTTGAAAAAAACAAAAAACAAACAGACAAACAAACAAAAAAGAAGACATCAGATCAGATCCCCTGGAACTGGAGTCACAGATGGCTCTGAACTACCATGTGGGTGGGAGGAATCGAAATCAGGTCCTCTGGAAGAGCATCCAGTGCTCTTAACCTCGGCCATCTCTCCAGCCCCAGGACTAACTCTGTGTCAGTTCTACAAATTTGCTGAACTGATGCGTTAACTCTGAAAGGTTTTGTTTTATATGTCTGTGATGTCTTTCTTCAAGGCTTTCTTTTGTTGTGGTGATGACGGTGATGCTAGGGATTGAATTCAAAGCCTTATGACTGCTAGGCAAGTGTTCTACCACTGACCTATATCCATAGTTTTTCTTGAGGGTTTTTCTATATATAAGATCACATCACTCACACATGCAGAGTCTTACATCACTCTTTCCCCCAACTCTGCCCTCCTCAGAACTTCTAATTGAGCGAAAATGGTGTATTAGTTTTCTATTACTGTGTAATGCCATCACCAAGTCAACATATGAAAGAAAGCGTTTACTTAGGGCTTACGGTTTCAGAGGGTCAGAGTCCATGATGGCAGCGTGAAGGCATGGTAGCAGGAACAGCTGAGAGCTCCCATCTTACTCTGCAAACAGGAGGCAGAGAGTGAGAGCATTGAGACTGTCTTTTGAAACCTTGAAGTTCCCCCAACTCCTGTGACACACCTCTTCCAATAAGGCCACACTGCCTAATCCTTCCCAAACAGTTCTACCAACTAGGAACCAAGTATTGGAATATATGAGTCTGTGGGATGTGTGTAGGTATGTGTGGGTATGTGTGGGTGTGTAGGTGTGTGTGGGTGTATGGGGGCTTGGGAGGTATGTGTGAGGGTGCAGGTGGGGGTGTTATTCTCATTCAAACCACCACAGATGGTGGATGGACCCCTTGTCTGGGTCCTGATCTCAACAAGAAGATTTTATTCCTTTGCCAGCAAGTATTAGGTAGCAAACTGATACTTTTTAAATTATTTAATCAGTGTAGTGTGTGTGTGTGTGTGTGTGTGTGTGTGTGTGTGTGTGTGTGCATGTACACAGGTGTATGATGTATGCCTGTGGGCACATGTGTCATAGCATGCACATCTGGTGGTCAGAGGACAACTGTGTGGAACTGGTCCTCTCCAGGCTTGTGTGAGGTCCCTTCACCCACTTCACCCTCCTGCCGGCACAGTGAACCATTGTTCTTAGTACGGTCTACTTGGGTCCCTTCCACTCCTGGGTTGTTTAGCGATTGTGTCCTGCAGGAGTGTGGTGTGTGTTTTTTTTTTTCCAGTTGATTTTTCCATGGGGAAAAATGGGGTTGGTGGAGCATCTTCCCCTCTGAAAATGCATGGGGTTTCTTTTCTAATACCCAGTACTTTTCTGATAACTTTAGCCAATTCTGATTTATTTATTAGACCAAGGTGTGTGTATCTGTTCTTATCACTGTGACTTAACGCTGCACTAGAGAGTCTCACGGTATAAGGCAAATAAACAAATAATAAAATAAAATAAAAATTAAAGCTCATAGTTATTGGGCAAGAAGTAAGGTAATCCTTATCCACTGATGGTTTGAAACATACATGGAATCCAAGAACAGGATTAAAAACTGCAGGAACTGGAGAGATGGCTCAGTGTTTAAGATCACAGTCTGCTCTTAGAGAGGACCCGGGTTTGGTTCTTAGGAGCCATATTAGGCAGCTCACAACTGCCTGCAATTTCAGTTCCAGGGGATCAGATGCCTCTTCTGGCCTCCAAAGGCATCTATGCATAAGTACACACACACACACACACACACACACACACACACACACTAATTTTTTTTCCAAAAGCCATATAAGTTACGGTGGTGTCACAAAAGTACAAACATACTAAGAGGAAAATTTAACCGTGTATTTATAGCATCTCTATGTTGAAATACTGAGAGAACTTACAAGTCCCTTCTCCAGTTCTGTAACACCAGAGAAGTATCCAACAATCAAGTTCAATTCTGATGCCAACTATTCAGAATTACTCAGCCCCCACAATTCAAGAGTTCAGTTCTGTAACACCAGTTCTGGAACACCCTAGATTTAGCCACTAGACACAAGTGGAGTATGCCTGATTATAAATCCAGGGGTTTCCGCAACCACTTCCTCATGCTTGGTCTTTCAGTAGTGACCCCCAGTACTTAGCAAAGCACTTGGTTTACTGTTCCCAGCTGTAAGGCACACAACTGGAAGGGACGGAAAAGATGCATTAGGCACTGTGGGTGATAAAATGTTAGTCACAATTTATCCTGGGTGACATCGGTGTCCTGCCCTAATCACCACCAGGAAGTATTACTAGATAATTAGTATGGATTGTGGTTGGTTTTTATTGTTATTTCCATAGTGACCAAAGTGAATCGCCTCCATCGTCACTGTGGTCCTGACTGGTGACACCTTCTCAGAGTGGATGTCCAGGGGTTCACACGATTGAATCGTTCCTGGAGTCACACCAGAGCTGACGACCACACAGAGATCCCCTGACCTTGACTGTCCCAACATTTACACTAGCTAAGCCAGACAATAGGCCTTCGCTTCCCCATGGCTTAGGTCTGAAATGTGAACGTCAACTCCAGAGGACGCCGTGCTTATACCGAAAGCTCCGAAGACTTCATTTGAAGAAGTCACTTCGATTAATCTTGGCATCTGGATAGAAACGAAATTTGGGACCTCAATTACCTGATTGAGTCCCACGCAGCCTCCGCCAGCAGTAATATTAATGAGGGCAGCAATCACTTCTCTCTCTCCGAGGCCCGATTGCAGCCCAATCCCCAGCAATCTGTCCTTCAAGTGCCCCGGAAGTGGCATTATTTTCTCCTCTGTTGGAGAGAGAGGTTCAGTTCTGAATCCTTAACCCTCTGTGCTCTGCTGGCTGTAGAATGTTCAGGGTGCTGCTGTTGGATGAGTCTGTCACAGTCAGAAGCAGCGAGGGTCATCTCAACCAGCACTCACCACGGCTTGGGAAATAGGCTTTTCCAAGCCCATTCATCAGCTGAAGAAACTGAGATTTCAAGAGTCTAAGTCAAGCTGGATATGATGATGCCTGTAATCTGAGCCCTTAGGAGGCCGAGGCGAGAGAACGGGAAGTCTGGGGTCAGCCTGTGGCCACTGAGGGACAGAGCTGTTTGTTTTCAAAGGTTCGCATGCTCTGGGGATAGAGATTTCTCCTTGGTTCTTGGTAAAGAAGGATAATGAAGGTGAAGTCTGATTGCAAGAATGCCTGGTAGGAGAAAGAATTTGGCAGAGGAGACAGGAAGGGGGCTTTCGGCAGGTCGCACCGTTCTGCCAGCCTCCCAGGCAGCAGTCTGTGTCCCTGGCCTCCATTTGTCTGAAGGGCCTCCGTGGTGACCCTTGTCAATCACACCCCTGGTGAAATATGGGTGGCATGCTTTTGATCCCGAGCCACCTGGCATGCATCTGGTCAGCTGCCTGGCCAGTGGGCATGCACTCACAAAGTGCGAATTCCTCAGAGGTGAATCAGCAGGATGAGCGAGTCCCAGGAGCAAATCCTCATCAACAGTGGTCAGGCGGTGAAGGCCAAGGCCACGAACCAGGACAAGATGGAGAGCCTTCTCCCAGCTCTGTTCCCATCACAAGCACCAGCTGGCAACTGCTAGCCTGTCTGAGGGTGGAGGGCAGAGTGCTGTGAAGAGGGTGAACAGGGCAGCCTGAGCTTCCCTCCCTCCTGGTTGTTTTTTTTCCATCGAAAAAAGAGCTTAGGAAGGCCTGGTGACGGTCACCTGTAATTTCAGTACACATAATTAGAGGCAGGAAGACCAAGAGCTCAAGGATACCACCCGCTATGGGCCACATGAGACATGTATTCTCTGACTATGGCCTTTGGCTCGGGGCTTGGCCTTTGTTTATTTTGCCTTTCTGTTGCTGTGGTAAACCCCGTGGCCAGAGCAATTTATGGAGAAATGGGTTTACTTCAACTTCCGTTCCCAGGTCACGGCCCATCTTTGAGGGACTTTGGCGGGAACCTGGAGACAGGAACCATGGAGGATCATTGCTTGCTAGCTTGCTCTCTGACTCACTCAGCTAGCTCTCTTATGCAGCCCAGGCTCTCCTGCCTAGAGATGGCGCTGCCCGTAGTGGGCTCAGCCCTGTTCTGTCAATCATCCACCGAGACAGTACCTACCAGACGTGGCCACAGGCTAATCTAATTGGGGCAACATTTTTTGATGTTGCTAGGTTGTATCAAGTTGACAATAAAAACCAGCTAGGGCAGCCTCGAGACTTGCTTTGGCCAATAGTATGGGAAAGTGATAAGGACTAGAAATGGGCTTGTGTGTTTGGGACTGCCTCCTTGTGTGCCCCTGCCTGTTGTTATTGAACAAGCCTTAGACTGGGCAGGATAAGCCAGGCATGGTGACATATATCCTCAACCCCAGCATTTGGTGGGGGGGGGTGGGGTGGCAGGGAGGGCCAGGAGTTCAAAGTCATCCTCAGCTACATAAGAGTAGCCTGAGCTACATAATATCTGGCCGCAAACAAACAGACAGACAGACAAATGCAGCTAGGCACGTCTCTTTAATCTTAGCATTCAGGAGGCAGAGGAAAGCAGATCCCCTATGCATTTGAGGCCAGCCTGGTTCTCACAGTAACTTTCAGCCAACACTGCATAGTGTGACCCTGTCTCAACAACAACAACAACAACAACAACAAAACAATAACAAACAAACAAACAAAAAGGTGAGCACACTGGGTTTAGTGGCGCAAAGTCCCAGCACTCGGGACGCTCACAGGACAGGAAAATGAGATTTACTTCAAGAGACCCTACAACGCACATCTGATGTAGTGAGTGCACTGAGCTGGATCTAGGAAAGAATCTTTTACCAACTGAAATGCCAGGAAAATGGAATGTTTGACTGGAGAAAGGTCTTCCACCCCAGAGGGCTTGGAAACGGCAAGACAGGCTCTATTGCACACCGCAGAGTCTTTTTATCTTTTTGTGATAATTCTCTTGGAAAGAGAAAATACTCAGACTCAAATTCATTTGTAGAGAAGGCACTTGAGACCCAGAGAGGGCAAGGAACTCCCAAAAATCAACAGTCAGGGAGGCTGGGCCCGAACCTGCCTGTGCCTGGCGTTAAGATCCTGGAAGTGGCCAGATGGTGGCAGTGCACGTCTTTAATCCCAGCACTTGGGAGGCAGAGGCAGGCGGATCTCTTGAGTTCGAGGCCAGCCTGGTCTACAGAATTTTGGGACAGCCAGGGCTACACAGAGAAACCCTGTCTCAAAAACAAACAAACAAACAAACAAACAAACAAAACAACAAAGAAACAAACAAAGATCTCGGAGCTGGATTCCAGAGAACTCTAGCACTCAATGGGAAATGGATTCTAGTGTGGGCCCTAAGATTATTCCTGGTACAGGATGAAGTCTTCACAGTGATGGGTGTGTTTTCACTACAGGAAGGAAGACAGGGAAATCAGTGAAGTGACTTTTAAAAATAAACCTGCTTTACTAATTATAGGTAGTTTTCCTTTTATCTGACATTCTACTGTCTCAGTTCTTCAATTTAATCAAATAATTTTTTTTTTTTTAATTTCAAGACGGGGGTTTCTCTGTGTGTGGCTCTGGCTGTCCTGGAACTCTCTCTGTAGAGGAGGCTGGCCTCCAACTCACAGAGATCTGTTTGCCTCTGCCTCCTAAGTTTTTAAATCTACCTTTTACTTGGGCATTGCGGTGCATGCCTATAATCCCCAACACTTGGGAGTCTGAGGCAGGAGGATTGCCACAAGTTTAAGGCCAACCTGTTGTATCTATCGAGATCCAGGACTACTATAGTAAGACTCTCAAACAAATAGACAGACAGACAAAGGAAAAGTTAACTTTTTGACCAGCAGGATGGCTCAGTGGGGAAGGTGCTTGCCAGGCAAGCCTGGGACTTCAGGTGGCTCTCCTAGACCCACGGTGGCAGGAGAGAAGCAAATGCCAGTTGTCCTCTGACCTCCACGCGTCCGTGTTATGAGCACACGCCCAATTTTAAATGTTGCCGTTTACTAATATTTCCTTTTTGTTATGGTGGGGATGAACCCAGGGCCTCACACACGCCAGGCAAAGGCCACACTGAGCTACTTCACCCACCCAGGAAGTTATGCAAGCTTAGCAAAAATAAAGCCTTGTGAACCTTGAAAGTCCTCCCAGACATTTAAGAATGATATATACAGGCTGCGAAACGGAAGGTCTAGAAGCCACTGTCTGGACGACCTCCAGGGACATTTCCAAGCTAATCTTTCTATATCCTCTCAATTTTTAAACCGGAGAGGTCAAGTATGGGCTTGGTGGGCCCCCGGGACGCCCTTGGCCAGCACTTGTCTCCAGGCGAGGGAGCCGGCAAGGTTGGCTGCCTCTTCTGAGGACAGGAGACAGGGCTCGTAAATTGTGCTCTACACAAAGCCTGGCTTTTTCTCTCAGGTCCTTGTTTCTGCTGATTCAGTGGCAACCAGTCAGCTGCGTCCCCTCCGTCTCTGTCACAGCGTTATGATGGAGATCGAGTTTCTCGTCTCCATGCCCGTCCCAGATGAGTCGCCAGTAGCTAAGCCCGGCCTGTTGGACACGGATGAAACCTCCTGGCAGACACCGTACCACTGTCCATCACTCAGGGCACAGGAGCCTGGCTCAAAGGTTACCCAGGCAGACTCTTAACCACCAGGAAGTTAAGTAGAACAGGCTTCTGGGAGTCCTACCTTTAGCAGGGTACTGCTCTGGTCTCCCCAGGGCTTCCAGCCCTGGGCGTTCTGTGAAAGAATTCAGAATGCGCTGAGCTCAGTGAAGACAGAATTTATCAGAGTAAAATGGGGCGTCGCAAGGGAGGAAAGCAGGTGGGGAACACAGGGAGTGTTGTGGAGGAGGAAAACGCTTCCGTAGGTGAGACTGGACAACGGCCGACTTGCATTTTTACATTTTAAAAAGGTTTAGTGTGTAAGTGTGTGCGTGTGGCAGGGTGGGAGTTGGGGGAGGGCTGTGGTTCTCTCATGGCACCTTTCTGTAGGTTCTGGGGATTGACCTCAGATTGACCGGGCTTACACGGCAAGTGCCTTTCGCTGAGCCTTCTAGCAGCCTATGTGCCCATATACATTTTTTTTTAAAGATTTATTTATTTATTATGTATACAGTGTTCTGCCTGCATGTAAGCCTACAGGCCAGAAGAGGGCGCCAGATCTCATTATAAATGGTTGTGAGCCACCATGTAGTTGCTGGGAATTGAACTCAGGACCTTTGGAAGAGCAAGCAGTGCTCTTAACCACTGAGCCATCTCTCCAGCGCCCCAGTATACATTTTTTAAGGTAGGATTTTGTTCTACTAAAATCTTCAGCATAGACAGCTTTAATGAGGGATGTTTTCCTGTCCAGGTGATTGACAGGCCCCTTTGGATTGACAGGAGGGGCAACAGTCTGCTCCTGTACTTGATCAGAAAGCCTCTTGCTAACTGCTGATCTTGCTCCTGGAACAAGGTTATTTTTGTTTTTGTTTTTTAATCTAGTAATGACCCTCGGTCACAGGAGTCATGTCTGCCCCAGGACTAGAGACAGGATGACCCAGGCATCTGTCCCACTCAGCAGTCCCAGTAGTTTTCTAAGCTGTTGAGGGCTCAGCCCCAATGACTTCCAGTTCTAATTATCTGAGTAGCTATTTAACATTATTTCTTTGTAGAACAACTTCATTAAGATATACTTTTTATGCTGTACGATTTATTCAAGGTTCTATTTTTTAAGTGTATTCATTGATATATGCAGTTTCACTACTTTTTATATCTTAAAAAAAGACATCCCTTGCTGGGCATGATGTCATACTTGGGATATCCTGGCACTCTGGGGGTTGAGGCATGAGGACTCAAAGTTCAAGGCCAGTCTGGGCTGCTCAATGATTGAAGTGTGACTCTAATTAATCTTATCAATAAAAACCAGGAGTCAGATGTGGGAGTAACAACCTGAAAGATCGGAGAAGCGGAGGAGCAGCCACCAGAGACTTCTTACCTCTCCAGATCCGCCAACAAAAAAGGCCGAGATCCTGTCTCTGGCCCGCCTTATCGCTTCCTGTCTCCATCTCCCCAGTGCTGAGATTAAAGGCATGAGCCACCACCGCCTAGCTTCTTTGGTTAACTAGTGGTTAGCTCCACCCTCTTATCTACTGGCAGCTTTATTTGTCAGAACACAACAAAATATCACACAATAAATGATGCTGTATCAAAAACAAACAAACAACAACAACAAAAACAAGACACCCTCTGCCCTTTAGCATGGATGCCCCAGAGTGCCCCGACCCATGTCCTTCTTTCTGGGCATTTGATATAAATGCAGTCAGGCAGTATGTAGCCTTGTGTGGTGCGCTCCTATCAAGTAGTATAATGGTCTTAGGGCTTATCTCTGTTGTAGATTTCTTTCTTCCTTTTGTTTTTAAACTTACTAGTTAGAGCTCTTTCATTACCAGAGACAGTAGGGTCAGAACCTGGGCCCTGACCGCCTTCCAGTAACCCAGGCTTAGTCGCTCCCCCTTGGTTGGCCAATTAAACAAACAAGTATTAATGATGAATTTATTCATAGTGAAAACCAGAAAGCGGGGGATTTATTCTGTGTGACCACATTAGGAAGAGGAGCAAAGGAGCCCAGTGAACCCCAAGTCCACCGTCCAGGTCCTGGCATTAATAGAAGACAAAAAGGATGAGTCGATAGGCAGCCTGGATCAAGGCATGGTCCCGCCCATCACCATGTCTCGGCTTCAGTCTCTCTTACATGGTGGTCTGGCACATTACCAGACCTTGGTGAAATCTGTTCCTGGGAGACAAGTTCCCACTCTGGTTGGCTCCAGGCTTCAACCTTTTCCTTTCCCAGCATGAGATTCTTGGGGAAATTCCAATTTCTTGGGGTCCATTTTTTCCCCAATAATCTGGCAGACAGAGAGAAGGGCACAAGTGTCTCTTTAAAATATCCTCACTCCCGGGCTGGAGGGATGGCTCAGTAGTTGAGAGCACTGATTGCTCTTCCAGCAAACCCGGGTTTAAATCCCAGCACCCATATGACAACTAACTACCTAGAACTCCAATTCCGGGACATTCAATACCCTCTTCTGGCTGCCGAGGACATTGCATGTGTGTAATGCACAGAAATGCATGCAGGCAAAATACCCACTCATATAAAATAAAATTAATCTTAAAAAAATAATCACACCTGCTGGGACAGTTACACTTTTCAGTTCATAGTGAGGTTGAACAGAACGCACAGGCTTCCCACCCTACCCATCCCCATGCCCTCCCATGTACCACATCTCACCATCAATGTCCACACCAGATTGTCCACATTGGTTACAATGAATGAGCCATCCCATCAGCTGAAGTCCATAGAGAGGTGTGTGTGTGTGTGTGTGTGTGTGTGTGTGTGTGTGTGTGTGTGTGTGTGTGTTATTTTGTTCTGAGACAGGGTATATGTAGCCCTGATTGGCCAGGACTCTTTATGTAGACCAGGCTGACCTCAAAATTACAGAAATCCTCCTGAGCAGTGGGGTTAGAGATGTGGGTCACCAGGCTGGGCTCACCCTTGGCTTTGCACTTTTTTTTTTTTTTTTTGGTGACTTTTAACGACGGCATAATGACACGTGTCCACCTTTAAAGTACCAGACAGAAAAGTTTCACCATCCTGAACCCTGCGCTCTCTCCTGCCCCCTCGTCCAGAGTGATTGCTGGTCTTTTCACCATTTCTGTGCTCCCAAATGTCACACAGTTTGGGGTCTTTTTCACCGTGGCTTCTTCCACTTAGGGACATGTCTTCTCACAGTGTGGTCCCTTACTCCTCTTCACCTCACCATAATATCTGATTGTCTGCTTGTTCCACAGTCATTGACCCATTCACCTGCTTAAGGTGAGGCTTGGGTGCTTCCCAGTTAGGGCAACCACATACCCATTATGTATCATTCCTTTTCATGCTTGAATGATATTCCGTGGTATGGATATACCACGTTTATTCATCCACTTCACTGATGGCCATTGGGTGATTTCCTCCTTTTGGCTATTGTGAGGAGTGTTGCTGTGAATATCCTTGAAAATTTTTATTTGAGTGAAAGCTGAGCCCATTTTCTATTCTTTGGGTCATATGGTAACTCTGTGCTTAATTAACTACATGATAAACTGCTAGCCTGTTTTCCAAAATGACTATCACTTTGCCTTCCCACCAGCTGTAAAGAAGGATTTTAATTTCTCCACAGTCTCTACAGTGATTGTTGTTGTTATTGTTTTATCCTGGTTATCCTAGTGGGGTAGGGTGGCAGGCATCTCACTGTGCAGGGGAGTGGGGTGGCAGGCATCTATCTCACTGTGCAGGGGAGTGGGGTGGCAGGCATCTCACTGTGCAGGGGGGTGGGGTGGGGTGGCAGGCATCTCACTGTGCAGGGGAGTGG